TTCTAAGGCGGGCTTCCTGAGAGATGGCAGAGAGGCGTCTTTGTTGCCATGACATCCATTGCGCATAGTGATTGGTGGAGTCGGCTCTGCCGCAGGGGCGAGTGGGAAGCGAATGAGCGCTGCGGGTTTAGAAGAGGCAGCCTCAGGTAGCGAGGTGGTGTTGTGTCCTTGAGGACCGTTGAAGGGGGAGGCGGGAGGGAGGCGCGAAGGCGGGGTGTGTGGATGGGTGAAGGGAGAGCCCCACAGATGGAGGCGAGAGGGGTTGAGGCGGTATCCCCGAATAGTCGGGTGGGGAGAGTCGAGCGTCATTGGAGGCGGAGAAGCGGGAAAAAGGGGGGTCCGGGAAAACTTGGCACTCCATTTGCTCCTTTCTTCACAGGTACTAATCACCATCATGCCTACTTCCGAGCCCCCCAAAAGCAGGCGGGAGGCAGTCTATTCCTCCCCTGCTAGTTCTGACGACGAGGGGGCCGGCAAGTCTTCCACTTTCTCCCTGATCTCTGACAGTTTCCATCCAGAGTTATCAGATTTCCACCATGGGGGAGAGGGAGAAACAACAACAACTAGCAGGGGATCGAGCATCCCTCAGAAGATGAAACACCACCATAGGTAATGTGACACTCGCACAGTGCTACTTTCTACTTTTATTGGGTTATTATTATTATTATTAAGCTAATGGGGCCCAGATAATTCGGAAGGCGCACTGGAAAGCTATATTTAATATTGGTGGGAAGCGTTTTGTTTATCCAAATTCCTCTGCCCTGAGGTGTCACAAACTGAGGAATTATATCACTACTGGACAGAGCCTAGATTTGTTTTGCAAAGTGGTAAAAAATATCCCCCTTTGTTCTATTGTGCAGTGTTGCTGTTTATTGTTGCCCCAATAAAGTGTCATCAAAGTTGTCCCAAAGCATTGGAAGTGGCATCTATTATACAAGAAAATCAGTGGTGGGATTCAAATTTTTTTACTACCGGTTCTGTGGGCGTGGCTTGGTGAGCGTGACAGGCAAGGGATACTGTAAAATCTCCATTCTCTTCCCACCCCACTAACCTGCTTTCCAGCTCCGTTCTCCTGTGCAAGACAACAAAAGAAGACCCAGCCAATCAGCTGGGACTCGGGAGGCAGGGAATAGATGGGGGTGGGGCCAGTCAGAGGTGGTATTTGCTGGTTCTCCAAACTACTCAAAATTTCCGCTACCGGTTCTCCAGAACTGATCAGAACCTGCTGAATACCACCTCTGAAGAAAATGCATCATGGTATTTTTAAATACCTTAGCTTGGTTAATGGCATATTTGCCCCCAAAACTAATCTTCATTATTTTACACAGTGATTCTAGACTAATTGATAAGAGAAAATGGCTTCTGCTTTATGTACTGCATAAAGCCATTTTAGACTGAAGTAGCTTATACATCTTACAGGTATATAAACTTAGAAATCCAATTTCTTCCCTAGAAATTTATTTCTATTTTGTGTTTCATCAGAGATTGATTGGATATTCCTTTCCCATAGACAAAGATGTATGTGTGTCAAGTTAGAAAGTTACAATGGTCATATCAATAAATAACTGAAAACAAGCTTAGTGATTACTAAATTTTTAAGAAATAAGCTAAATATTCAAGTACTTTACATCCAATAAGAGGCACAACCATCAGATTTTTGTAAATTGTTCTGGAGGGTTGAATTTCCTCCAAATTAGATGGAGACACATAAATTGGGATTGAACAAAATCAGAGAACATTGCATGAATGGCTTATATAATATAGAAAATAATTTTATAAAGTTAATTTTGCCTATTTCAATTACTTTTCAAATGTCCATGTTTGGGGTTCTTAGTAAATCAAATGAGCCTGGATTAAATAAGCACTATTATAAAGGCATTGCCTTGATTAAACATTTAGTGTTAAAGGTAAGGAAAACAAAGCTGTTAAAGTAATCAGAGGTAAACTGCAAAAATGGTAGTCCTGACTGGACCAATGTATCTCTGAAAGAGACCAGGTTTGGAAGGCTGAAGAAATGATGCCTACAAATATTATTTGGCAAGACATCTTTACCATGACAGGAAGGAGCTTGATACATATTCCTAGTTCTTGTTGCAAGTGTATTAAAAAGTAATTGAAAAAGGAATGTTCTTGGATTACAATATATTTTAAGTATTTATCATTTTTTATTTATGTTTTATGTGTTTGAGGAAGTTATTCATTAACATAGGAGCATTTCTCAACAAAAAAAAATCTGACAGAAACTTCACTCACCTTCCCCTTGCACCTTTAAATTGGTAACCATTATTATACATTATTGTAATATTTTAGGGAAACAAATATTGTTATTCTATCACAAAGCCTTGTCATTTGAGTTAATTCCAAAAGCCATATATAATTAATGCATAGTTTGTTGCACCTCTAAAAATCAAAAACATACATTTGAATACTGTGGTTGTTTCAGAAAAAAACAGGGTACTATGATAACAATTGCATACTGATATGCTAGCAAACAATGTGATATGATAGGACTGTATACTACTGTATCATAAAGACCTTAATGAGTCATAGATGAAATATCCTGATTATCATTTTTATGATATACATTTTTAATTAAAATTGAATTTAGAGACAATCATTTTCACATATATTGAAAATACATATTTAGATCAAATCATGAATTTATATCACTTTTTCCCTCCACCCCATGTAATTATGAAAAATCTGCAATTCTGAAATACGTGGGTTTGGGCTTTTGATATTCTTTGGGATTCAGTAAATTAAATAAATAAATATATATATCTGAGTACAATATTCTATGTACGCATTGTTCACATTCTGAATAAATGTTTACATTATACTAATGCAATACATAAAAGCCATAACTTCTACGACCAGTATATATTTAAAAAAAAGTTTATTGGAGAAAACTCTTTCATTTTAATTGAATTTATTAAGCATTGTTACATGTTTCTATACACAGAAGAGACAGACATTGTACTATATGAATGGAACTCTGAGTAACATTGGATGAAATCTTCTAAGGTTATACCGATTTCCATTAGACTACAATTTTTCTCTCTTTGCTGTGACCACATTCTATTTTTCTACAGAAGCAGATTTGGAGAATTGCATGGAGACTTTTAAAGGGAGAGAAGGGAGAGAAGACTATACTATAGTATAGTAGCAAACAGAGTTTTTTGGGTAAAATCCCATAATTATAGTAATCTAAAGAACAATTCATAATATTACTTGTTTCTCATTTTATTTGAAAACAAAGATTTGTTTTAAAATTGTATTCATTAAACACTATTGCATCTGATTTCTTATTTGTCAATTCACAGTCTGGAACAAATTAAGGATACAAATAAACTTTCACCTGTTCACAATAGTCTTTCACCATGGGAAGAATGGTTCCTTTGCAAAGAGAGAGAACTACGTGCTCGTTTACAAATGAAAGCTTTGGAGGTGAATACATAGCTTATTATCTTTATAGTTAACAACAGATTGTGAGACATCAAAATGCATACTTTCCCGATTATTTTTTAAAATACAGATTGTTTTTTATATTTTGATCATATTTGTCCTGCTTTTTATTTGCTGATTATGTCCTGATTCATTACTAGTAGTGAATATTTTTACTCTGTTTTTATTTATGTTATGCTGATAGAAGCTATTACTTGAATTTTACTTAATCAACTCCCTCCTAAACGTTTAAATTTAAAATGTAATGCTTTAAAAAAAAATGCGTACATACGTATTGAAGCTTTAACACATTAAAAATGTGTGCTGTTCATGGGTAAGTGAAGTTTTATGATCCAGGGTAAGAGATGGTTGGCTATAAAAGTATATTATGGTTGACATATGTTGTGATAAACTGTAGTATGTTACATGACTGTTAGAGAAATATGTTGTGCTTTTGTCCCTTTCAAAATTAAATTTATTTCTAAAAAGTTTTATATTAGTACCCTTTTTACTTGTGAACTTATCTAATTTTCTGGTAATATTCAGAATAGTCTCACTTCATTTTGTGAGATGATGCAGTCTTAATATTGTTTGCACTACCTGCATTTTATGAAAAATTCTGTCGTTTCAATGCTATCTATGCTGATGGACATTTTTGACTATAATTAACAGTAATTTTTGAATGACTGGTAAAAGACTTTATTGTCCCAACTATTTTATCTACTTAATGTAAACCTTCCTGCAGTTTACCAGGTATGGATCCTAGCTACTGAAGAAACAAACGGCTTTTGGCAAAGAAGAAAATTTGTTGCTTTAGATTTTCAATTTATTGTAAAAAAAATTCTGAGCAATCTTTAGGAAGTCAGTTTGGCCTAGACTAAAGAAATAATTTTCTCTAAGTCCAAACCATTGTTAAGTAAAGAAATGAGGGTATGAAGTGGTTCTTCAATTTTGTTAAACATGTTATATTAATTAAGCAATAGTTGCTGGGATGAAACGTAGTAAGCCACAAATCATCTTTTAATAGTACAATCATCCAAATTTTCATGTTTGTATCATTACTATAAAAAACATAGAAACCTCTCCCAGTTTCTTCACTGAGAAATGTCTGTAGCAGCCCTTGCCTGCAAGCCATGCCCTCTGCATATCACAAAGGGAGTTTTTGTAAATTTTGTAAGTTCCCTATTGAACAATGCTTCTGTCCTGGTGCTGGTGGGGCTGATCAAGTGGAAGATGTTATCAATTATATCCTCCACTGCTTCGTTTACAATGGGATTAGGCCCAAATTATTAATGACAGATGAACTCAGAGCCTCTAACCTTGCAAAATTAAACTGTTTCAACAGTCAGGAAACAAAGTTGTTGTCATTTGCACTTAGAAATACTTAAGATCTTAGTTGTAGCTTTGACTTTATTGTAACCTTTTTACTTCTAATACTTCTATTACGCTGTTTTATAATTTCATTATGGTTAATTTATTGTATTTTATGGCATCTTCATATGTTGTGAACTATGGTTACAAGAATAAACATATTTACATTACATAAAATCATGTTTACAAATCTTAAGAGCTGGGTTTACACAATATGCTAATAAAAAAAACCAATTACATTATGGCTTAGAACATTATGTAGCCCAATCAGTGTCAGTGAGAGTTTCATTAATCATAATGTTTGATTGTAGCCAATAATTGTACAGAGATGTTGATATCATTAAATAGATTATTCCATTTCATTAATTGATATATGTTGGATATTATTCATGGATGCCTAATTCACGTATTCTGAGCAGAAACATGAGAAAAGCAGAAAGATTAGATTAATAGAACAGACCTGCACAGTCTTGCTTTCCTCCACACAGGGAACTTGAGCGAGAGCATTCAAGGCCCTTACATTTAATCAAACATCAGTACAATATCCACAGTGTTCACAAATGTAATGGCAATAATGGTCAGACATTTGAGTCCCTTGTGGGATCCTTATCTATGTTTACTGTGATAATCTGTTCATTAACTTTTTTTGAGTGAAGGAGCAATCTGGAGTTTAAGTTCATTGCCTGCACAAACTGGGGTTTCTAATTCTTGGAGGAAAATTCATCTTCCTCAACAAGGGGCATTGATGAATAATTTCCCTCAGTCAGTCAGAAGTAAAATTAATATGTTTGGCACATTCAATAAATGTACAAGCACATTGTATTTTGCAGCTTAAGTCAGTGGGATGGATGAAAAGGAAAGTCAGGGCAATTCCGCAGTTTGCCAAAGTCATGCCCTGCCTCTGACAAGAAAATAGGGTTAATCCTTTTCTGCTGAATACAATTGGGGGTGACTTGGAGAATGGCACCTTACAATTAGTGTTCTGAAGAGAAGAAGCATTTGGACATATGCCTCAAAACATGAATTTCAGCCTGTGGATCTTATCTAGACTTGCTTCAATGTTTATTGTTTTCATCAAGACAAATTATAGGTTTTAGAAGGACAAGGCATCCAAGATATTCATTTACTCATGTAACCCCTTATTCAACTGCATACTCATTCATTAGAGAAAACTTCATGATAAGTTAAACATACACATCATAATGAAATATCTTGTAGCAAAAAGATTTCTGGAAGTTATTACTTTCATTACTTTAAAATAAAACAAATTTGACATGTACTTTGCAATGAGAACTGTATTTGGATTCAAAGTTGCTGTGGTTTATGCAAAGTAATCAAGAAACAAAGAGTAATTTTCATCTCTTTCAATAGGAAATGAATCAGCAAATGGAGGAAACAAAGGAAAAACAAGAACGAGAAAGAAAAAAATTAATTGCTGAAGAGAAACACAAAGAATGGGTCCAAAAAAAAAATGAAGAGGTGAAAAGGGTGAAGAACTGCTTTTCTCTTTCAGCTATATATTGTATTTGTGAGATGGCATTTAGTATCTGTTTTAATGTGAACCAAAATAATATTTTAGTTCCTAAACTTTTAAAATCCACTGCAGATTTTTAGTTAGATTTTATTTTGTTGATTCAGTAGGAATTAATGTACTTCCTTCACCATAGCATGAAAACATGACCTTTCTTATTCTGTTAATAACAGTGATTAAGATCAATTAATTAATAGCAGACAAACATATGCATATTTTCAGAATTAGGTTCCATGTGGTATACTGAAGAATTCTTTTTCTGTGTAGCAGTTTGTTCAGTTTCAGTGCCACTAATGAAGTAAATTCCTCATAGTTAAATAGAAATTCCTGTGAGTTTTTTTGTAAATTCTTCTTGTAAAAATACCTGCTTTCTGATGATTAAACACAAATTATATAATTCATAACCAAATAATAATAATTTGGCTTATACTTACATTGTTTATGATGATTTATATATACTTTGAAGTAGTTCAGAATACTCTTTGCTGTATAGCAAGCAGTGTTTCCTCATTCTTGGCAATTTTCAGACAAGTGGAATTTCAAATTATAGAATTTCCCAGCCACCTTAGAATAGAATGGAATGGAATGGAATGGAATAACAGAGTTGGAAGGGACTTTGGAGGTCTTCTAGTCCAGGAAACCCTACACCACTTCAGATAAATTGTTACCCAACATATTTTTTAAAACTTCCAGTGTTGTAGCATTCACAACTTCTGAAGGCAAATTGTTCCATTGATTAATTGTTCTAACTGTCAATTGGCTATTGCTATTGCTACTGTATCAACGTGGCTATTGCTAAGAATTTTGGAATATGTAGGGAAATTTTGGAAATATGCACTAGATATTGGATATCAGATCATAGATATAATAGAATTAATTATTTTGATAATCCATGATGTGAAATTATCAACATTTAGAAAATATAATAGGAGTAACAGGTTTTTATTATTTGTGATGCCTATTTTAGTGTTTGAATGCCAATTTTAATGTTTAATTCAATTTTGTTGATTTAGAAGCAATCTCATCTGCCATCATCAGGCTTCTGTATAGTGTTCGTCTGTGAGTCAGACTTTCACAGCCGTTTCTGTTTTAAATTTGGTGCTAGCCTACTGCTGTGCCAGAATGGTTTTTTCTTCATCCTGATTGGTTGGGAGTTTTGGTCTGTATTTATTGGTCTTGGATTTTGCTATGTGATGATGGCAGATGAGATTCTGCTGAAACGTTGCTACAACTTTAAAAGCACAACTATA